CTCAGGTGCCAGCCCTGGCTCTGAGCTGCTTCTCCAGCCCAGCCCAGCCCAGCCCAGCCCAGCCCAGCCCAGCCCAGCCCAGCCCAGCCCAGCTCAGCCCAGCCCAGCCCAGCCCAGCCCAGCTCAGCCCAGCCCAGCCCAGCCCAGCTCCCCTTCCTTGCCCAGCAGAGTTTTCCCAGCTCCGGCTGCTCTCCCATGCCCTGGCAGCTCTGCCCTCCCGGTGGTGACACCTCACCTGCACAGGTGACACATTTGTCACCTCTCAGAGCTCGGGGGAACGCCCGGCTGGGCCAGCAGAGCAGGGACACTGCCCAGCCAGGCTCCCTGAGTGCCAGCAGAGCCTCAGGGCCACCTAAAAACTGCAAATATGGGCACCAGGGCAGCCTGAGCCCCCAAACCAGCCAAAAACACCAAGGAAAAACCGGCTCAGAAAAAGCAGATCCTCACCAAAAGCAAGTGGGAGACGCTCTGGAAGGTTTTTGCCTTTCCAAGTGGCTTTAGGAGGGAGATGCCCCAGGAGCTGAGGGTGCTGCCACAGCCCCAGGCCCAGGGCAGCCACCCCAACGTGATGCAAAAGAAATAACCAAAATTCTGCAAAGAATAAAGCAAAATGCAGATCATCACCGGTGGGATTCATCTTTGGGTGGTCAGCAACTGCAGATGGGTTTTTTAATACTTTATTATAAATAATAATAAATTATTAAAGTATTAATTATTAATAATAAATCCCACTGTAGTTTTGTGTGGTATTCTCCTGCCCTCTGAACGGAGAGAAGCTGTGAGACAAGCAGAGAAGCAGGAAAAAAACAATTTTTATGTCTTCTCTCACAGCTTCTCTCCATTCAGAGGGCATGGGAATGCCACAGTTTTGTTAATATTAGTTGGAGTAAGTTTGGGGTTATCATTGACGTTGCTAATTTGGAACTGGAGAATGCTGCAGCGAGTTAACCTCCTTATCAAACACCCCTGGCAAAGCACAGGTGCCACCATGATATTTTTATGAAAATCCTTTGCTAGGATTTTTCTCCTATTATAGCTGAGAAGCTTCAGAAAGGAAATGTAAACAATTAACTATTTGATGGCTGTGGAATGTGGTCTGGTGTTGGTTTGCCAACAGCAGCTTCAATTAGTCCATGTGGATTGTTTTTATTTGGTGATCAATCCCAGCCACCTGTGAGCAGTCACAAGATTTTGTCATCATTCCATTCCCGTCCTTTCCAGTCTCCTGATGGATCCTTTTCCCTCTATTCTTTTTAGTATAGAATACTATACTAAATTTTAATTTATCATTTTAATAGAATATCATACAATAATAGAATAAATCAGCCTTCTGAAACGTGGAGTCAAGATCCTCATCTCTTCCCTCGTCCTGGGACCCTCAAACACAACTTTTCACAGCTGCCACAGCTCCCAGAGGACACCACAGAGCTCAGAAGCAGCTCCCAGCCCCTCTCACTCAGCAGATCACTCCTGAAACCACAGCAAACAGCCCCAGTGCCCTGACCCAGGGAAGGGAGAGGGGGGGATCAGCCTCCAGCAGCGCCTGGACTTGGGGCTGCTTCCCTTCCCCCCTGTCCTGGGCTTGCCAGGCACTGCCAACACACAGAATGCCCAAAAACACTGCAAAAACCATGTATAGAATGCCCAAAAACCATGTACAGAATGCCCAAAAACCATGTACAGAATGCTTAAAAACCATGTACAGAATGGTTAAAACACTGCAAAAACCATGTACAGAATGGTTAAAACACTGCAAAAACCATGGACAGAATGCCCAAAAACACTGCAAAAACCATGGACAGAATGCCCAAAAACACTGCAAAAACCATGGACAGAATGCCCAAAAACACTGCAAAAACCATGGACAGAATGCCCAAAAACACTGCAAAAACCATGGACAGAATGCCCAAAAACACTGCAAAAACCATGGACAGAATGCCCAAAAACACTGCAAAAACCATGGACAGAATGCCCAAAAACACTGCAAAAACCATGGACAGAATGCCCAAAAACACTGCAAAAACGATGTAGAGAATGGTTAAAACAGGAACATCCCAGGGGCAGCAGGAGCATCCCTGGGGCAGCAAAAACAATGTACAGCATGCCCAAAAACACTGTAAAACTATGCAGAATTTTAAAAACACTGCAAAAAGCAATGCAGACAATGCTTAAAAACACTGAAAAACAATGCACAGAATGCTTAAAACACTGCAAAAACCATGTACAGAATGCCCGAAAAGACTGAAAAACAGTGTACAGAATGCTTAAAACACTGCAAAAGTAATGCACAGAATGCCCTAAAACACTGCAAAAACGATGTACAGAATGCTTAAAGCACTGCAAATGTACAGAATGGTTAAAAACACTGCAAAAACAATGTACGGAATGGTTAAAACCCCTGTAAACCCAATGTACAGCACTGCCTGTGCCCATCCTGCTGGGCCAGGCTCCCTCCGAGGGGAGCACAGGGCAAAGCTCAGCCCTGCCCAGCAGGACAGAGCCCAGGCACGGCCCCAGGAGCTCTGTGAGGAGCAGCCAGCCCTGCTGGCAGTGCCCCTGGCTGCTCCCAGAGCCCCCAGGAGGTGGGCACAGCCTGGCACAGCCTGGCACAGCTGCTGCCTGCCAGCACCCCAGGGACCAGCCCAGGAGCCTGGCACAGCGGCTCCAGCCAGAGCTGGAGGTGGGGACAGGGACAGGGACAGGGGAGTGCCAGCAAGGAGCTGGGACCATCCCAGTGCCAGGAGTGGGGTCTAGGCTGAGGAATCACCCAGGGCTGATCCCAGTGCCAGGGAGTGGGATTCAGAATGAGGATGCACCCAGGGCAGCCTGGCAGGGCTGATCCCAGTGCCAGGAGTGGGATTAGGCTGAGGAATTACCCAGGACAGCCTGGCAGGGCTGATCCCAGTGCCAGGGAGTGAGATCCAGGATGAGGATGCACCCAGGGCTGATCCCAGTGCCAGGAGCGGGATTCAGGATGAGGAATCACCCAGGGCTGATCCCAGTGCCAGGAGTGGGATCAGGCTGAGGAATCACCCAGGGCAGCCTGGCAGGGCTCAGCTCCCTTTCCCAAGCAGAGGCAGCAGTTTTCCCAGCTGGGATGCTCTCCACGTGCCCTGGCACGGCTGGCACGCAGAGCCAGCCCTCCCTGCCCACAGCAGCACCCCTGGGACAGCCCCAGCCCCTCAAACCCAAATTCCAGCTCCTGGAGAGCACTTCCAGGGCCAGGCACTCACATCCAGCTGGACAATTCCACCCAGACTGGGGAAGGAGACAGCCAGGAGAGGAGAGGGGAGGAGGGCAATCATTTCTGACTGAATTATTGGGTCTGCCCGACCCGGTGGGCCAGGTCAGGGCAGGAGGGAGATCATTAATTGCAGCTCAGCCCACTGCACATCCATCTCCATCCATCCCAACCCCTCCTTCCCTTTCATTTCTGCAACATTTCCTGATATTTTTTTTTCCCATCCCCTGCTGCAGCTCCCTCCTCCTCCTCTGAGGACTCCTGGTTTTTGACAAATTTAAATTCAAACTTCTCCATCGAGCCCTGCCTGGAGGAGCTGCTCCTGGCCCAGGGCTGAGCTCAGGGCTGCTGGGGACAGAGGGGACAGGCCAGCCTGGGAAGCAGAGGGCTCCAAACGCTGCCAGGGGGGCAGCAGGGCAGGGCAAAGCTCAGCACCAGGTGGCACAGCCCAGGGAAATGTCCTGCTCAGGGAGGAGCAGCTCACACCAGGCTCCTGGGCTGGAGCCACTGCTGCCAACTCCCACAGACCTGAGGCAAGGCACCAACTTTGCTTTTTGCCTCCCCTCACCTCCCAGCCGGGCAGTTTGGGAGGTTTTTTTGTGCACTTTCCAGGAAACGAGCTTGTGGGGAGTGCCACGGGCAGTCCGTGTGCCTCGAGAGCGTCTCTGCAGGCACAGGGGCAGAGCAGGGGGGTGACCCTGCCACCAACCCAGCCTTGGGCACAGGGGACACTCAGCCAAGCCACCAGCAAGCCCTGACACTGCTCAGCCAGTCCAGAGCACCTCCCAGGCCCTCTCCCTCAGCAAATCACTCCTGGCATGAAATGACAGCCACACCAGGAGCAGCAGCTCGTCTGCACCAGCCCTGAAACGAGCTGCGACCACTGCCAGAAAAACTGGTGGAAGAAGCCGAGGAAAACTCCCAAACCAGCCAAAAACACCAAGGAAAAACCAGCTCAGAAAAAGCAGATCCTCACCAAAAGCAAGTGGGAGACGCTCTGGAAGGTTTTTGCCTTTCCAAGTGGCTTTAGGAGGGAGATGCCCCAGGAGCTGAGGGTGCTGCCACAGCCCCAGGCCTGGCTGCTCCTGGCCCTGGAGCTGCCTCCTCTGTCCCAGGAGGATGAGGAGCAGCCCTGGCGAGGAAGGCAAAGCTCCTCACGGAGCCCAGCACACCCCAGCTCTGGGAACACCACGGGGAGGTGACACAGGCAGACAGGACAGAGCTGGCAGCTCCAGCAGGGGCACGGCTCAGCCCCAAAGGCTGGATGTGACAAGGGAGGGCTCTCCCAGCGTGTCCTTTAGCTGGCACAGCCTCAGTGCTCTCCTCCTCCACAGGCAGTGAGTAACCAGGCACAGGAGGGGAGCCAGGCCTCGGGGACAGCAGTCCCGCAGGGCAGGGTGAGATTCACCTCCCCAGAGCTCAGCCCTGGGCCTGGACACGCTCCAGGGCAGGCAGATCCCAGTTCTGAGCTGAGCGCTCCGGGGATAACGACGAGAGCGATGTTTTTTGGGGAGAGTGAGGCAGGTGTTTGTCCAGGCACGAAGTTGTGCACAGCGCTCCTGGCTCACCCCAAAGCACAGCCCAGCCTCCTCAGGGTGCTGTGGCCAGGAGGAAAAGCCACAGGGAAGGAAAAGCTGGTGGAAGATTGATTGCAAAGCCACCAAGCGACTCTGTCCTTGCTCCTAGGCAGCCACGTTCCAGCCTGGACAGGGATCCTCTCCTTTCTCCGAGCCCCATTCCATTTCTGAGCCACACAAACCACCACCAACTGCAACACCCAGAGCACAAACAGCCTGGGCAACCACCACGGCCCAGCTGGCGACAAAAGGCAAACTGACAAACGCTGAAATCAAAGTTACTCACTCTCCCAGGGGCTCCCAAACGCCTGTACACAGAGGAAAACGCGCTCCCAAACCCACAGAAAACTCTTCTTCCAGAAAATAAAAAAAAAACAAACAACCCCCACCACCACCACCACCCCCCCCTCACCCTGCTCATGCAGGAGCTGCCGGGGAAGGTGAGACACGGGCAGAATGCAGAAATGGGAGCCCGGCTGGCAGGCAGCAGCTCCTGTCCCTGGTCACCTCCTCCCCGGGGAAGGGCCGGGGGCAGGGGACGCCCGGCAGGTCACTCACCTTCCACAGTTGCAGTGACAAACTCGGTCCTCCCCCCGGAGGTGCGGTAGGATGTAATTGTGAAATCTGTCCAACAACGCATTCATGTCCATCAAGCAAGCTATTGCCTGTAAGAGCCCACAACCAAGGCATCGGGTCAGCTCTGGATGGTGGAATAAAACATTGGCTCCAGTTTGATTGCCAGGCACTGAGGCAGACATCGAGAAAAGAGCGGGGCACACACACACACACACACACAGAGATAAGCAAAAAATCTCTTACCATAACGATAGAGGCGCCCAGGATCATGAAAATCATGGTGTTTGCATTCATGGACATCAAGAGGGAATGGCCAGCGGTCGGGTCCGTGCGCCCCCAGCCCGCGGAGGGCGAGCGGCGGCCGCGCTATTCCGCAGAGCCGAGCGCGGGGCGCATCGCGCTCGCTGCCCGCACGCTGCGGTGCGGCGGGGGGCGGCGGGGCGGCGGGGCGCCCCCCGCGCACACACACGCACTCCCCCGTGCCGGGGATGCCGCGGGCTCCCGAGCCCTGCCGGCGTTAGGTTTTTATTGTTCTAGGATGGATGTGGTGACAGGTTTAAAAAAAAAAAAAAATTAAAAATTAAAAGTCCATCAAGCAAGCTATTGCCTGTAAGAGCCCACAACCAAGGCATCGGGTCAGCTCTGGATGGTGGAATAAAACATTGGCTCCAGTTTGATTGCCAGGCACTGAGGCAGACATCGAGAAAAGAGCGGGACACACACACACACACACACACACACACACGCACACAGAGGTGCCCGGGCTGAGGGACAGTGCGGGGGGAAGGTGGAAGGGAGGCGGGGAGGTGATGGTGAGGTGGTGGTGGAGCGGCGGGGCGGCGGGGCGCCCCCCGCGCACACACACGCACTCCCCCGTGCCGGGGATGCCGCGGGCTCCCGAGCCCTGCCGGCGTTAGGTTTTTATTGTTCTAGGATGGATGTGGTGACAGGTTTAAAAAAAAATAAAAAATTAAAAATTAAAAAAAAAAATTAAATATATATGTATTTTTTTATATAAAAAATAATAATAATTCCACCCCCGCTGCTGGCCCCGCGGTGGCGGTGGGTGCGCGGCTCCGGGAGCGGGCACACGCCGGTGCGAGCACAGCCTTCATGCAGCAACTGGGAAGCGAGGCAGCCAAACCCGGGGTGGGGGGAGAGGCTGGGGGAGGAGGAGGCAGGCTGCAAAAAAATCACCCACGCCGGGGGAGCCTCATCGCATCCTCTCCGCCGACCCTCCCCAAAATCATCCCCGCTGCCGAGCGCTGCCAAATAAAAATCGGAAATTTAAAAAAAAAAAAAAAATCAAAAAAATAAAATACCCCAGCCCCCAAATCACCGCGCCCACCTTCACCCCCCGCCAAAAAAAAAAAAAAAAAAAAAAAAAAAAACCCCCCCAAACACCCCTCAGCCCCACAAACCCTCCGGGCTCGGGGCCGCGCTGTCCCCGCCGGCAGCCCCGCTCCGCTCGGGGGAGGGATGCGGGATGCAGGGGAGGGATGCGGGATGCAGCGAGGGGGAAGATGCTCCCAGGCAGCTCCGGCCGCCCCCTCCCCACCCCACCCCGGCCATTTACCTACGTGGGGAGGCGCTGCTCCGGGAGCGGCTCATGGCGAGCTCCAGCTCTGCGGGCCGGCCCTGCGGGGCTCCCCCCGCCCCGCAGCCGCACGCCGAGCCCCGGCAGCGGCGCTTGGCCGCGTTTCCAGAGCCGCACGCCATCCTCACCCCGCCCTTCCTCCTGCCGGGGTCTGCCCCTCGCCGGGACCCCCCGGCTCTCCCCTCCCCTCTCCTCCCTTCCCTCTCTCCGCCCGGGGGTCCGAGCCCCGCGCAGCCCCCGCGCCTCCTCCGCCGCCGGTGCCCGCACGGAGCGCGGGGGTCGCGGCCCCGCTGCCGAAAGGAGCCCGAGGATGCAGCGGCGGCTCCTGGAGCGGGGGGAGAATCCCAGCCCGGCTGCGAATCCGCCCCGCTCGGTGCCCCGGAAAGGTCGGGGGGCGCAGGGGGAGCCCGGCAGTGTTGTGACACAAAGAACTTTGTCCCGGCTCTGTCCCTAAGTCGTGATTCGTTTTTTTTTTTGTTGGTTTTTTTTGGTTTTTTTTTCCACCGCGCTGGCGGGCTCAGGTCACGTTTAGGAGCTGCTGGGGGAAACGGAAAGAAAAGAAAAAGAAGTGACCAGGCGGTAACTTTCTGCTTGTTTGGTTGTTGTTGCTGTCACAGCGAGGTGGAGGGAGGGAAGGATCGCGGCCAGCACGTGGGAAATGCGTGGCAGCTCGGCTGGATGTCCTGCCGAGCCTTCCCTCCATCCTCAGCCTTCCTCACGGTGAGTTCCTCCTCGCTAGAATCCAGGTGTTCCTTTTTTTTTGGGCTTCTCAGGGTGACCAAAGCAGAGTTTGCTGGTGCTGGGTTTTGCGTTTTTGCAAATTTGTTTCCGTCCTGCTCCTCAGGCCACAATCAGCCTTCTTATGTAATGACTGGTGTTATATAAACTCCATTCTTCAAGGAACAGTCATTAACCTACTACTGGGTATTGAAAATACCAAAATACTGTCACACAATTAAAATCACTAAATGGTGTCCTCAAATTAGAGCACAGATTGCATTGCAGATTTTTTTAATTTAATTTTTTTAATTTTTTTTTTTAACCACACACATGAAACATTTGACAGGCCAGGCTCTTCATGCAAAGGAGCAGCAGGGCTGGGAAGGCACCTCTTGCTTTATCCCTCTGCCCTGAGCTCCTTCCTCTTCCTCCTGAGCTCAGAAGTGGATTCTGCCATGGAGATGCAGAGCTCAGAGAGGATGCAGCTGGTTACTCTGCCTGCTGTAGAAAACAAAAGCGTTTCTAAAGTCACAGCTGAATAAAACCACGGGAGGGAACAGTTTGAAGACAAGTCTCAGGGAGTTTTGTGGAGCTGAAGTTTTCCCAGCCCTGGCTGGGTCAGTCTCAGCTGAGCTTGAGGCACTGAAGAGAGATTTTTGTCTTGGGCTCGGGTAAAGGCACTTCCCTCCCTGTGCTTCGGCAGCACAGGTACCCAAAAAAATCCCTGTTGTGGTCAGTCCTGGCTGCTGGGGATCCCAAAAATCCCTGTTGTGGTCAGTCCTGGCTGCTGAGGATCCCAAAAATCCCTGTTCTGATCAATCCTGCCTTCTGAGGATCCCAAAAATCCCTGTCCTGATTAGTCCTGGCTGCTGGGGATCCCAAAAATCCCTGTCCTGATCAACCCTGGCTGCTGGGGATCCCAAACATCCCTGTCCTGATCAATCCTGCCTTCTGGGAATCCCAAACATCCCTGTCCTGATCAATCCTGCCTTCTGGGGATCCCAAAAATCCCTGTCCTGATCAACCCTGGCTGCTGGGGATCCCAAACATCCCTGTCCCAGTCAATCCTGAGTGCTGGGGATCCCAAACATCCCTGACAGGTGACAAACTCCAGCCTGGTCCTGGCCCAAGTGGCACTGCCACACCTGCTGTGAGCCAGGGGACATTCACACCTGAGCAAAGACTCTCTGATGGCTGAGCTGCCTCCACGATGGGTTTGTTAAACTCATCCCTAATTAACAATTAGCTGCTCCTTTTGGAAAAGCAGCCCCCACCCTGCCTGTGGCTCCTGCTCAACCCCAAGCTGTCACCACCAGCTTCACCCCAAGGGGTGCACATGCTGTGTCACAGGATCTCAGCGACATTTGGCCAGTCCCTAATCAAGATTATTTCCTCCCTTTTCATATCCAGCCTCACTGTCACCACCAGCCTCACCCAAAGGGGCACACAGGTCACATCACAGGATCTCGGTGACATTTGGCCAGTCCCTAATCAAGATTATTTCCCCCCCTTTTCATATCCAGCCCTAAGCTGTCACCACCAGCCTCACCCCAAAGGGCACACAGGTCACATCACAGGATCTCGGTGACATTTGGCCAGTCCCTAATCAAGATTATTTCCCCCCCCTTTAAATACTCAGCCCCTGTCACCACCAGCCTCACCCATGGCTGAGCTGCCTCCACGATGGGTTTGTTAAACTCATCCCTAATTAACAATTAGCTGCTCCTTTTGGAAAAGCAGCCCCCACCCTGCCTGTGGCTCCTGCTCAACCCCAAGCTGTCACCACCAGCCTCACCCCAAGGGGTGCACATGCTGTGTCACAGGATCTCAGCGACATTTGGCCATACCCTAATCAAGATTATTTGTCCCCTTTTCATATCCAGCCCCACTGTCACCACCAGCCTCACCCCAAGGGGTGCACAGGCCGTGTCACAGGATCTCAGTGACGTTTTCCCAGTCCTTAATCAAGTTTATTTCCCCCCCTGTAAATATCCAGCCCCAGGTGGGAGTTTATCACAAACCTCACCCACAGGACTCTCTGCTTTCCTCTCAAACACGGCCTCGGCTCAGTTCTGTGCTGCTCACACAAGTCAGAGTTTACCCCAACCAGAGCAAACATTTCTGTTCCTTTGGAATTGTTGCCATACCCTCCCTGGACTCCACTTGTTGATTTTTATTCCCATTTTCCCCCCAGTTTTGTGCCAGTAGGAGTGTTTGTGTTTGATTTTATCAATGCATTCTCCTCAGACCCAACACAAATGAGAAGAGGAAGTTGGATTCTCAGCAAGAAATGGGGAAATCTGGGACCATGGATCTTTGCACAGATCCAGGAACCCCAAACCCTTGGGAAGAAGCTCTTGTCTGCTTCTCTTCAGCAACGAGACACCAGCAGTGCAGAGGGAGAAAATCCCCAAAATCCCCCCAAATCCCCAGTTTTAGTTACAGAAACCAGTTTGGGAGATGTGCTGGTGTGGCTGACAGGATGCTCTGCACGTGCTGAGAAGCAGGAGGAAGTCACAAACCCAGGAGTGAGAGCCCCACAGGGGGAGTGAGCAGGGCTGTGCTGCTCTGAGCCCCGGGGTGGGACCTGCAGAGGATGGAAAGCTCAAGAAGGGCTTGGCAAAGGTCTGCCCAGCACAAAAAACCCCAAAAACAAAAGAAAAACAAAAAAAATTCAACTAATCAACCAGACCAAAAAACAAAAAAAACTCCAACAAAACCAAACAAAAACAAAACAAAACAAAAACAAAACAAAACAAAAACAAAACAAAACAAAAACAAAACAAAACAAAAACAAAACAAAACAAAAACAAAACAAAACAAAAACAAAACAAAACAAAAACAAAACAAAACAAAAACAAAACAAAACAAAAACAAAACAAAACAAAAACCAAACAAAACAAACAAACCAACCAAAAAAACCAAACAAACCCAGACCAAAACCCAAAAAAAACCCCAAAACCAAAGCCAAAAATCCCCAACT